GCACAGTGTTTATTCATGAACAATCATAAAGCTACACTGCACAGTGTACTCTGCCATAAAGGTCAGTTGAGTTCCTCTTGATGATGCAATATCATGTTTACTGTTCTGCACTTTCATTTTATAATAAAAGTACCATCTTCGCAGTTAATTTTGAATTTATTATCAATAAAATAAAAATCTTTTGATAGTTTTCTTAGTCTGCACATTTGCAGACATTTTCATCGTTTGAGATGCCAAAACATAAAAGAATGAATAATATTTGAATGTACTGAAAAAAAATGTCAAACTTAATAGCTTTTATTGAATGAAATGATATATGTCATAGATCAAATTATTTAAAAAGAAAAACAATGGACTTGAACACTAAAATATGGACATCATGTCATTGACGCGCCCACAAACTAGATAATCTGTTCCTCGCAGATGGAGAACAGGTTCTGCTAGACATGTATGAAGTTGTATGCTTTTTAACCTCTTACTTGTTCAAACCCGCAGAACATGTGGCCACCGGTTAACTTTAAAATGAGCCTTACACTCTCATTTTGACACGGAAGGGTTTTATTGTGACTCCTCTTTGCCAGTGTGATTAAATACACGTAGACACTATGGACCGCAATGCAGAGGAGGCTGTCAGGGTTCCGCATCCATCATGGTTCATCCAGACTTCCGTTTTTCGCCGCTGCGCTCCGCTGTGAGCTGAGGCTACCGTCACACTTTAACGGTACTTACCGGCAGCTGACCGAAGCAGCCTCTCTCGTCCTTATTCCGTTGTGTCTTTAAAGTCATTCGCTGATGTAACGTGACTATTCACAAAGCCAACGTGTATTTTTAAATATTATTTTAAAAACTAACCCTATTGCTCAGTATAATGAATAAATGAAAAAGACCAATAGTAAAGCCGATGTTGCTACAGCCAGCCGCATCTTTTGTCTCCACCGGATTGTTTCCGGTCTGCTTTCACAGCTCTTTACCGGCTCTAACCGGTACTCAGACGCGGGCACGCAAATCCCTCTCGGCTTCATGAACGCGCAGGGCGCTCCACGCAATTCAACAGCCGCCTTCGCTGTTCTGATGAAACACCACCGAAATATAAACGGTGTTAACCACAAACTTAAACATTCTTGGCAGCCTGTTAGTGATTTAGAGAACAAGGTATCATGAATGTGGTCACACGATGATAGTTTTGATATGTATAGGCCTACAGGCTTATTTCTGTGACATAAATAAAATAACTGTGTGTGTGTGTGTGTGTGTGTGTGTGTGTCTGAAGGCAGAAGGGCTTCCTCCCAAACAGCCACACAGAGTGCAGATGAGATAACTGTGAAACGTTGTAACATTTGAAAACCGTCCTAAATAGTATGTGATTGCCGATATCATCATGCCATATTCTTACATAAATGCTATAAAGCTGCTCGACCCTTTCAGAATAAAATACCTCCTTTTATTTAAATGTAATTTTTACTTTTCACATTTTTGAGAATGCCAATATTTAGTTCTGTATAACTAATGAATGACTCACCTCTCACTCAGCTGTGACTGATCCTTTGACTTGTGTTGAGTGTTCAGTGCCTGTGTACTTTTGTTTGAGACTTGGGTGTGTCTAAGGAGTTCCAGCCCTGAAATCTGATTGGCCTCCCAGATGCAAACTCAGTGCCCCACCAACCCTCTGCCATCCTATTTGAGACGTAACCCTGATTTGCAGTGCACTGATGTAACACAAGTCCAACATGACCAGGGTGTGTGATTACAGAACAGATGTCAGTGAGTTCGGTACAACTCTAAAGATGACTAAATGTTTGTCCAGTCATGTAACTAGGTTGTTTTCTTGTTGTCTGCTCTTTCTTCTGGAACCAGTTGTCTCTGTCTTCCCTCAGCAGTCTGTTAGGCCTCCGGGTGTGAGGTTACAGCTGGTTATAATGGCTAATGTTAGGCCACATCAAGGCTGTACTGATAAAGGACATACAGAGAGAGAGAAGATTCTACCAGCTGGTCAATAGAGGGCGCTAGGGCTCCGCCCCCTCCCCCCCCCCTCGAGCCACAAAAAAAAATAAAATAATAATAATAATAAATTATACAAATTGTCAATATTTTTATTTTTGAAATATGGAATGCACCCAGTAATGTGTGTACAATATGATATGTGCGCAAAATATATGCTTTTCCTGCACGTCCCCTCCGCCTGACAGTAAGTGGGCGGACCTAGGGTACTTCTCAAGTCTCTTAATGGTCATTTCCTCGCTCCTCTATCCTCGCTTGAACCGGAAGTTGTTTCGCGCCACCATATTGACGGCCGTCCCAAAGCTCTAACGTAGCTCGGAGGAGCGAGGATCGAGGACGGAGGAGGGACTTCGGAGGAGCCATGAGCGAGGAACCACGAGAACAGACTTCCAGGAAGTCTTTTAACGGCCGACACGCCCCCTCATTGTTCATCAGTCATGTGATTGGACACTGCAGCCGATCGGACTGACTGACTGGAGTTTAACACCAGAGTGAAGACAGATCACAGAATAAACTCAAGCTTTATATTTGATTAGTTTTCTGATTCACCATCTGGTTTAAATAAATGTTCAATGTAGTCTGAACAACAAAAGGACCACAAACAACTTTCTTAATTTATTAGAAAGATTTGTGTTTTCATGATCTGAGGGGACCAGAAATCGCCGACGTGTGATCAAGACGATTCAACGAACAGTTGAAGTAACGCTAACAATAACGTTACCTGTGTGTGTTATCCTAGGAGCAACATTAAAACCAGATCAAACTCATTTTATTGTTGAACATTAGTCCATTGTTTTAGCTTAATTTCTTCATCTAACGTAATCGGCTCATCGCAAGTCTGTTCATTTAAACTGTATGGTATTGTTGTATTAGCTTTTTGTAAAGACTTGCACTGATATGTTAATATATGTGAGGCACATGCGAACCCACAGTTGCACACACAAAGCTTCTTTTAAGTGTGTTTATCCGGGTGTCACAGAACTTTCCAGAAGTTCAGAACATTGTGTTTCTAAAGTTTTTATTGTTTGTTTTTTTACGGTCACTTGTCATCAGAGATTGAGGATACCAGCCAGATGCTGCAGTCAAGTCCTCTTTCAAGGTGTTCTCTCTCTTTATTGTTTTCATTCATGTGTGAGTTCATGCAGTTCAAATGAACTATAAATGTGTATAAGACTTGTTAACACGCTAGACTGTGATGCAGTATTACACTGTTTGTGATACTGTTTTAATTCAGCGTTTCACTCCTAATGCTATTTTAATTCAGTGTCTGAGGGAGTGACACCGAGATCTAAAAGTGGCGGATGGTATGTACCTATCCCAAGAGTGGTATGCCACTGTTGTTCAGTGGTATGTACCCATCTCTGGGGTGTGCCACTGTTGTTCAGTGTTTGATACCTTAATTATTTTTGCATTAAATCATTCTGGGATGTTTGCTGAGATTAATTGGATGTGGCACAGCCCGACCTAGAAAATCTTCCATCAGCCGCCACTGGATTCTACAGAACATAAGCTGTGATGATTGCTGTACACCGTAATCTGTTCAGGGTTAATGACACAAGTTCTTTAGGAGGTTTGATCATGTTGTAGTTTGCAGCTGTAAGCAGAAATAAAAGCACATAAGTCATACTGGACTGGTGGACTTTAGAGTGGTTCAATTATGAATGCATAAGAAGCCTTAAAGGGACAGTTCACTCCAGAATATTTTTCCTCTTATCTCTAATGCTATTTATCAATCTAGACTGTTTTGGTGTCAGATGTTAGTATTGGAGATATCGGCCGTAGAGATGTCTGCCTTCTCTCCAACATAATGGAACCAAATTGACTATATATTTATAAAATAGATTTGAAACTCAACAGCAATGTCTCTTTCTAAAATTGCTCACAACCAGGTCTGTGGATTGTGATCAGTAACCACGTCATTTCTGCAAAGAGACATTGCTGATGAGTTTTTCAAATGTTTTTGTTGCTGTTTTAAGCACCAGCAGAGTGTCATATAGTCCCATTATATTGGAGAGAAGGCAGACATCGCTAAGACCAATATCTCCAACACCAAGCAACTTACACCAAAACTATCTAGATTAATACATAGCACTACAGGTAAGATGGAAAATATGTATTTGTAATAAAGTGTTAATAGAGCTTCATACAGGTTTGGCCTTATTGGTTGAACACATGCACACCTTGATGTCTTCATCACAAGCTAATGACACCATGTAGTCCAGACACTGGAGACAGTCTCAGAAGACTGGTTCTGGACAGAATGTTGAAACTACAAACGCATGGTGTCCTGGTAGAAAGACTATGGGCTCCTGCTTTATTACCTAATCTGGTTTAGAGGGACACTGTGTTACAAAAATAAAGACTTTGTTTTACTTCATATTGTGCTTACATGTTGCATTAAATAATGAACCTGAATAATGGGTCCGTGTGTGTGGCGGTGCAATAGTGACCCAACAAGCACATTTTGCTCAACAGCCTTGACAGGTGCATCTAGATGTCTTCTTTGGTGTTTGATTGATGTGTGGCACTAAACTGTGACAGCATCCTTGTATAAATGGGACAAAATGCAGGCAGAATGCAAGATAAATAGTGCTTATCCAAATATTCTCATTTGACCTACTCTTACATAGGCCTATTTGCAAATCTATTCGGCTTTTGTTGGACTAGCTTTTTGAACATATTGTAATCTAACCTTAGAGAGGACAAGACTGACATAGTACAGTTGTTTTGTGTCAGTCTAAGCCAGTGGTTCTCAAACTTTTTCTGTCGCGCCCCACTTTGGAGGAAGAAAAAATGTTCATGCCCCACCGCCCCAACAAAATTCTAACAAAATGGTCTATGTTGAATTTTTATTGAAATAACATTTTGTGACTCCTCTGTCTGTGCTTTTTCAAATAATAGAATACAGAAAATTGCACTCACTTTTAAGTAAACCAGATTGCGTGTTTACCGTGGAGCATTTTGACGTGTACTACGGAGCAGTTTACAATACAGCTGGTTTCCGAGACAAATCTTTGTAGCGCTGCAAATTAATGAGGCAGATGTTTGTGATGTTGTCATGAGGTGAAAATACACAATGAAAATACACAATAACGCATCAGAAGCAACAAGAAAAGCAAGTGGCGCAACGGGCAGTGGCGGAAACGGGCTTCCATACATTTCGCCATGTATTTATTAATTACTAAATTAATTAATTAAAAAAAAAAAAAAAAAAAAAAGAATTCTGCATTTCCCCCTGCGCCCCACCTGTAATACCACTGCGCCCCACTAGAGGGGGGCGCCCCACAGTTTGAGAACCACTGGTCTAAGCCATCTGAATTGATCTTGGACCTCCTTTCTTCCTATGACGCAACCTTTGAGGAGGCGTCCTCAAAAGGAAAGATTAACATTGATGTTAAAATGGGGACAGTTTAGGCTCCTCACAAACTATACAACGCCGTACATCATGTCGTCTGACCATGACTACTGTAAAGGTGAATGTTTGATTACTGTAAAAGTAACAATAGAAGTGTGTAAATCACTAGAATGGTCAGATTATTAAATAGATCACCGTGTACCGACAGCTGAACACACTTATGCAACACCACTACCTGTTGCTGTAAATCGACTTCTCTTATAAAACCATAAACACCAACATCTGATCTATGAGTTCCTTTGTCATGTGAAAAGGGAAACGCTGTCGTGGATTTAAGGACATAATCCACAGGTGCCCTTAAAGGGAATGAGAGTAACCATGGTGACGCAACGTCAGGTTGGGGATTGAAGGTGAGAAGGAAGTGAGTGTTTGTTTGTCATGTTTTTGGGAGTGGAAATAAACGGCGGCAGAGGTGTGCAGCCAAAAATACAACAATGCATGTCATAAAAATAAAACAAGACAAATCCTTTGCTTTGCATAGGTTCTTTCTTACTCCACTCTGTGTTTATTTCTTTGTTTCTTTCACTTGTTTTGGTCTTGTGCAATTAGCAAAATACTTTGCTCTTTTACAAATGATAATAGGCACAAACAAACATACAGTACAAACGCACCATCTGAAGTGTATCCAGGAGGCATACATACAAACATCTATTACATGTCATTACAATACAGAATAAAAATGACAATTCAATTATTTATCATGGATGTGAACTAAAATATTATTAATGAAAAAATGTTGCTACAACAATGCAACTAACTAAAATATTTGTCAAGTAAAAATTCTATGAAAATTGTGGTTATATTTCTGCTCCAGCATGCACCTCATACTTTCAGCACTCCTGAAAGACAAACTCCCTGATTTTTGTAAGTTACCAACAGCATCTACAGGTTGAGAAATGTGCTCTCAGTTCACTGGGGATGTTTTGTAAGTCGACAGTAAGCTGGAGGGAAGTTTAGAGGTACTATTGCTGCTTTGACAAAATCAGAGTTGTATCTTTCACACAATCATTATGTAACATGAGGACCAAATTCCTCATGACATCTACTTCTTGGTCAACTTGAATGTTAATGCAATTTTCTCTCCAACGGAAAAAATAACTTGGCACCCTGAAAGACTTTTTTTTGCGGATCATCCCACAGCGCCTGTCTGTCTGTCTGTCTGTCTGTCTGTCCATCTGTCCTTCTACCCCTCACGAGCGCCTGGCCCGGCCACCTCCAGTTCCGTCTCGGCACCAATTAATCTACCAAAACACATGAACACACCCGTTAGTTTTCACTACAGGATTTGTCAAATGCAGTTAATGCCTAATTTCTGGGTTAAAGGGAAATTCCAGTACAACATGTACAAAACAATCAGGACGTATTTTTGTAATATGTTTAATCTGCCGTCATAGAATCATCCCAAATATGTGAAAGGATGAGTTGTATAGCTTTTGTTTTTACTGCAGAGGAATAGGAAGGTAGTTTGGTTAGCAGGCGTTTGCTGTTTACCTCACTTGGACTCAGATACAAGTGGTTAACATATTGATGCACAATTTGGTCAATTTAAATAATAAAAGTACATTTGGAATACTTTACTTTTCCTGATAAACTTGTTTTTGCCAGACTCAAGGATAAGCATAAATTTAGCATGAACCGTAGACAGAATGGAGTAAGACCCTCGCTGTAAATTACTGGAATGTTCCTTTAATACAAGATGTAATGTAATCTGGTAATGGCCAGAGTACTCACTCTGCTAAGTGTTAAGTAACATAGTGTAGGTGATAAGATGCATAAATCAGGAGGCTCACACAAAAAGTCCTGCAGACGGCAAACGATCAAAAGCTACATCACTCTAACTGCTACACAGCGTTCAGACATGGAATACATACGATCACTGGATCCATCTGTCTGTTAAAGTCATGGCCTTTTGTCATTCTGGTGACTTTAACGCAAATGTTACTTATGGCTTTATTCAGAGAGATCCATGCTGCTCCTCCAATATTTGCCACCTGGTGCACCAAAAGGAGCAGAGTAGTTACTCTGCTCCTTTTAGTGCACCTCTTACAGTTGTAAGAGGTGGCATCAATGAGGATTCTAAAACGTTTTAAGCTGTTGAAGCTTTAATTATGGTGAAAGCATTCATCCTTTTTCACAGCTTACTTTGTAATGTCCAGTGGTGCACAAGTATAGAATGACCAGGTGTTAAGCTTTGTACTTTAATTTCTGTTTGCTTACATGCTGTATGTAAAGCGTTTTACTCGCTTATTCATGTATTCATCCATGAAGTTGATTTGAAAGAAAATCTGACAATGTCTGAATTTCTTTAGAGAAGAATCTTTTCAACAACTTAAGTGTTTCCTGCTTTAATAAGGTTTTAGATTTTCTTTGCACACAAGAGATGACAACCAAAGGACCAGTGTGTAGGATTTAGTGGCATCTTAGTGGTGAAGCTGCAGATTGCAACCAACTAAATACTAAGGCGGCCTTCAGACAACATGAAAGGCCCTGTCTAAGGTCAGTGTTTGGTTTGTCCATTCTGGGCTACTGTAGAAACATGGCGGTGCAACATGGCGGCATCTGTGAAGAGGACCTGCTCCCTGTGTAGATATGAAGGACTCATTCTAGCGAAAAGACAATGATTCTTAGTTTCAGGTGATTATACAGTAATGAAAACATAGTAATTCAATTTATGCCAATTCCCTTAAATGCTACACAGTGGTCCTTTAAGTGATAGATTATAACAGTACTTAAAGTACTATTCAAAAAAGCACAACATGCATTTCTCTCTCTCTGCATGTTTTACCTTGTGCACAAGTACAAGGACCCTTATTACTGCCAACTCCCAAAAGTATTTTTTGAGGACTTTATATTCGAAAACCTCTCAGTATACCATAACACTAATCAAACGTCACCCTCGAAAATAGAGTTGAATCAATATCTCTAAAACAGTTTCACTACAAACTGAATAGAACCATGAAGGGAGGATTCATTCAGGACTGTTGCATTAGACTACATTAGTTTTAGCTTAGTGTACGCTAATAAACCGCGGAGTTAATCATTTATTGGTTATATGGATTATGTAAAGACAACTTCGTACTAAGTTAAATCCAGAGTTCCTCACTCTGCTCTCATTTGCAGATCATTCTGCTTGTTTTTGGTATCAGGGAAAGAGGGATGGTCATCATTTCTGAACTGTGTCAGTCAGCTGGCTTGCTATCTCGCTCTTACTGTGTGCATCAATGCTTTGGCATGCCTATAAAGTACACCTGCTGAAGGAGACCTAGCTATAGCTGACAGTTAGCACTTCAGGATGCTCACAGGAGGAAACTCGTTCTCGTCGTCGAGACACACAGGTCCAGCAGCGAACTCGTGTTCTGGAATGACTACGCCTTTCTTTGCGCCGCCATCTTCAGAGTATCCTGGGTAGAAACAGGTGAAGGAGGCAGACCCATCATCAGAGCAGCCTGATCTTTACATGACACAGGCAAAAATAATGTTTTCAGTATAACTTGTGTGAACATTAAATTAGTTCAGATCAGATCTGCTCAGTTTCATCAGCATTACCTAAGTAAGCTAAGTATGCAACAAGCAGCAACTTCTGGGTCTGAAACCTGCATTCTCACTAATGTCCACCAGGGGCGACTCCTCTGGTTGTATAGAAGTCTATGAGAAAATGACTCTACTTCTCTCTTGATTTATTACCTCAGTAAACATTGTAAACATTGTAAACATGAGTTTATGGTCTCAATCTCTAGTTTCAAGTCTTCTTCAATTCAGCATGATGTTCATTTAGTAAATGATGGTCCATTTAGAGTCAAACAGACCATAAAGCAGGGGATGCTTTAGGGCGGGGCTAAACAGTGATTGACAGGTTGCTACTACAACGTTGTCTGGTCTGGGAGTTGTCCGTTTTCGCCTTACAACTCGAAACCTTTCAGTGTGTTTTCAATTCATGAAAGTTAAATGTAATGTTTCGGTTGCCGAAAAATGTCTTCATTCAGCATTTGGTTGTACTTAGCTTCACCCTCTCGTGCCATTTCTAGTTGTGAAACAAACCAATGGGTGACGTCATGGTGACTACGTCCACTTTTTATCAACAGACTATGGTTGGCAACAAGCAATTTGTTTGAAGCAAACTGAGGCCACACTTGAACAGGTAGAAGGCAAAAAATGGCCCCATTGGAAAGATGCTAGTCTTGCTAACATCAAATCATGATTTTATGATATAAACATAATTACTATTACCAATACACCTCTGTTATCAAACAAAAACACCAGCCAACATCAGGAGCCTACATGGGTGTGTTTAATTACTTTGAGATTTGGTGGGAAATCAACTGGATCGTTTCGTGCGACAAAGGAAGAGGGTGGTTATCTGGCACTCTGCCAAGGCTTTCAGACAACTGCATACAACATGCACCGGGTCTTGGTTTAGGAACCTATAGTATAGTACTAGTAGAAGTGCTAACTCGTACTGCTTCCGTCTTCAAAATACATGTTGTCCACCACAAACATTGCAGTTCTCCTTAGATCAAGTCATGGAAAGTTGACAAAAAAGCCGGTACTAAAAGGCCCCTGGTTAAACACTAGGCTAGTTCAGCAGTTACCCTTCCTGTTACACACAAATAGAGAAATGTGTGCGACTACTAACCAGTGAGGGTTGCAGTGACGGGACCAGAGGCTGGTAAAGCAGCGGTCGCAGCGTAGGATGGACAAGTCTGTGCTGGTCCTGGGATCTCTGACCCTTCTGTCTCCATAACTTCCCCCTGGTCATCATCAACACCAAAGAGCCTGAGAGAGGAAGAGAAAGAAGGAAGCAAGAACACAACTTAAACTGGCGTTTTGTCAAGACTTTTTTTTCTTGAGTGTCTCAGGCTTTCAGACTAATTTAACACTGTGAGGAATGAAGCAAAGTTTTGAGTTTTATAACCCTCCAATATCACATCACAGTATGCAACTGCCACACACAAGTGTACGATACAGAGACACAACACTGGAAGTTTTGTTGGTTTCAGTGGCTTCTACAGGATCTGTACCCAAATCTGGGGCTTTTGGATTCAGGGACTTCAAAACCCACAGATAAAATAATCTCTCTGATATCAACCTGCAGTCTGAATCTGGATAATGACTCTGATCACAGGCCACCTGGCATCAGCGAGTGATCTTGTTATCTACATTTTGCCAGCATCTCAACATTAGATTTGGTCAGTTGGAGCTTGCCAACAACAACCCTGGTGTTTCCCTAGCTGGTGTGTGGAGTATCCCTGAGCTTTTTGTAGCCATTTGCTGAGTTTGCTTGAGATAGCAGGAAGGGACAGAGTTGGGGGATCAGGCTTCCTTTCTTCAGAGGTCAGTTACACCTGGTTGAGAGTCCATTGACAGAGATGAGAGACAGACTGGCTCCTGATGGGGCCTGGCCAATCCAATTGCAATGTATTCTGCAAACATTTCAAGGTACATTAAAATCCCTTATCCAGAGAACAACGCACATAACCAGGCCTTCTCTCATCTCCAGCTATATGCTGAACTGACACATACACACCACCTCACACATAAACAAACCAGCATTTGCAGATGATTAGGCAGCTGTTTGGTTGGGCAGAAAGATCTTTATGCAATTAGGTACAATAGCTAATCCAGCGGGCTGATTTTGGTATTCACTTTTAGTCTGATTGAGAAACAAGTGTTTGAAATTATTCTGTAAACATTTTTTATTTATTTATTTAGAAACCCTTAGTGTTGGCCCTTGTGCTGCTTGCCCTAATATAAGACCCAGGCTAAGAAACAGAACATCCCTATATGATTTAAAAATGTTTGACTTTGGCGACTTCCAGTGGCAGGATGACAAATGATAATTTGCCTACATTTGCAGTTGGACATGATTTCTTCTTATGTGTTATCTTTAGATTTACTCTGTATCACTTTCTGTTAGTTTATGTTTGAAATATATCAGAAATAAAGCATCTTTCAGGCATGCACCCAAATGTTCTTTCTACTCTCAGACTCTCGAATTCTCTTTTTTGTATTGGAACAGATAATGTCGACATTTGGATGTCAGAAGCCTTTGTTGGCTATGAATGACCATACTACTGTACAGTCTCTGTTGATGTTATTTGCTCTGTGAAAACACTCATGGGAATCATAGTATTACAGACTATATCCTGGTATCTCATTCAAATGATTTGTTGTTTTGAAGTTTTGTCATGTTAAAAGGTGCTCAATATGGAATTCAGAGCATATCTATTACCTCTGAACATGGCTGAGCCGGTGGCTAGAAGCTAACGATGCTAATAGCGGTAACAATGCAAACAACGGCGACAGTTCTGTGTTAACCTGAGAGGGAACCAGAGGGTGGGCGAAACGCTTCCATGACAACACCCTCGGTTGGGATGGCGTTATCAGCTATAACTGCCATATAAGCTCTTCAGTGGGGGGGGCAGACACTGGGACCACATGCACTAAAAGGCCTGCACGGCCAGACCAGCTATGTAGTACAATCACAGAGAAGATCTGATTTTATTTCCTACTCAGGTAGACATTACTCAACTATAGTTGTTTGATATTAATGCTCTGAATGTCATATTGATCACCTTAACCTTAACTTTACTTTTTAAGTAGGCAACTTTTGGTAGAATTGGGAAATTCATGATTTATTAGCAATGGATATTGTAACAAATCTGATGTGAGATTTGTCTGCCATTCATTATTTCTTATTTTACTGGCAGGTAAAAAAACAAGGCCTATTTCCATCCCAGTAATCTGACTGTCTGACTCTATGAACTGAACATGCTGCTCTTTGGGTAAACTGAGTTTTAGATTTGTAAATGTATCTTGAATAAACATGTGCCGAAACGTTGATTTATGAATTAACCGATGAAAAGTGCAGGGTTTCTCCTCCCTCCTACTGCTTCACATCTATCTCATCCGTGGATGTGAAATCAATTGTAACCTCACCTGTGTTTGTGGGCTAACGTGCACTCGCCTCCATCCAGTGGATCCACATTGTAGATGAACAGCTGGCCGTCAGCTGTGGCCACCAGTAGCCGCGGAAGCTTCTGGATCCTGGAACATTAGATTGAGTACCCGTTTAAGTTGTTAAATTATAAACATTTACTAATGTCCAACCCAACAGTAAGAGGAACTGATTCATTTACACTTTGTCACCCGAAAAATAGTTTGCAGTCAACCCCATTTCTCTGTCGGTCATAGGCTGGATCAGGAATGAGGACAAATAGAAATGGTGTGTCAACCCACATCTTAATCCACAGATTCTTTTAGGAGATGAAGACGAGTCAAAATCTCTTCTCTCAAGGTCAAAAACAAAACTAGTTGTGTGAAGAAACCACACATGAACACAGAAAGGCTGAATGTAATGTAAAAGGCCCATTCCCTGATTCCCAAAGATCACAGAGAAGCTCACATAGCTAGGGTGCAGATGTTCCTCTGGCCCGATGTCACCAGGTGGACGGTGGCAAAGGCCCGGTCCTGGCTCATCATGCCGGATACCTGAGCAGGGAGGTAGCTGCTGGCTGCTGAGAACATCTTCCCCACGTAGGCTGTCCAAGTGGCAGACTCGTCTCCTCCACTAAATACAGGTTGTAATAAATTGTAGCTTTCCTTAAATATAGCAACCAACCACAGGCAAAGGTGACACATGGTTACATTAACTTGTTGTGTTTACAGTGTGTGTGTGTGTGTGTGTGTGTGTGTGTACCTTGGTCCCAGCTGCTCTAGTTTAAAGATATGCACCGTCTCTGTGTTGCTGGACGCACAGAGGAACTGGCCATCTGGGCTGAAGGATAAAGAGCTTATATTGACATACCTGCAGAGAAACAGACATAAACACACACACACACACTTGAAGATTAATCAATGTAGTAAAGTGGATATACATTTTGACCAATAGTAAGCTATTGTCTGAAACCACTGAAGTCATGTGCCATTTAAAAACTATAATTCAGTCATTAATCAATAATTAAGTCTCCAGGAAACGTGCATGTCTGCAGCACTGCAAGAATGACTCCATATGTATTTGGAATGATGATCTAGTTTATATCTGTTGCTGTGCTCATTCTTTGGACAGGGTGCAGATCTTATAGGATGTGATTGAACTCTGACCTCTTCATGCCCCGGCGGAACTCAAACAGACGCAGCCCCTCAGGTATGGAGAACACTCGAATAACGGTGCCCTGTAACGACACACAGCCAGTGAGGTGTCATCTGTATTACAAATTTCTAGCAGATGCTTCTTTTCTGTGTGGAACTAGTTCAGCAGCTGTTCTTCCCTTCTGATGATCTTCAGTGTTCCTCCATTTATAATCTGATATGTAACTAGACGTGATGGGTCATGAGAGGCAAGTGAGGCGAAGTTGTAGAATTGAATATCATTCTGGATTAATGCATGACATAAATCTGTATAAAGAGATAGTTGTGATGTTTTGAAGTGTGGTTGTATGAGGTACTTCTCCATAGTCAGTGTATTACTACAGTAGATGGAGTTTGGAGAAACAGACAGGAGCAAACCATGTACTGCTGTGGACGTATTTTGGCACCTAATAAGGTTAAGGACCGCTTTACCTTGCTGTCAGACAGCCCTTTCTGACGGTGAACTGAACTGAAAGTGAAACATGCTCTATTAAAAGTCACCAAACTCTGCTGATACTCCTGTCTGTTTGTACAAACTCCATCTACTGTAGGTAATACAGTTACGACAAATAGGTACGTCAAACAACCCTTAAAACCTTAGAAAGGCCATCATATCTACAGCTATTGAGGCTACACTGCTCTTGTATCTGATAATACAAAAGCTTTGAAAGAAAGACACAATGCACTTCACTGTTACTAACAGATCCATAGAAGTAGTTTGGCTGAAGATGTAAAGTGTTATGTGGTCATGCGCCATAATGTGTTCAACTGTCATGGCAACCTGCACAAAGTTCACATTTTGGCTGAAAGATGGAGGTAGTGTGTCAAAGTGATCAAGATGACAAGGATTCGTCCCCTAGTGAACATAAATGTGCTTAACACATTTCATAGTAATCTGCCTTGTAAAGTCATAATGCGGCATGGTGGTGTCACTGGAGGAAACGTCACCGAAAAGGAAAAAAAAGCATATTAGAATTCATCAGCAAATTAAATGGAAATACAGCCTTAGCTTCTGAGCTCATATGGATGAAAGTGCTGGTCAGAGACAGATGAAAAGGAAAGGTCAGGAGGTCATCACAATAACAAGGATTCATTCTGTGGGGACCCTGCACATCCATAACTGGACCAAAGTGATGGATGGACAGACTGCCACTCTCGGACTGACTCTTGCTTCATCAGCTACATTTACAGTACAGGGAGTCTTTTTTACCCTCTCTGAGGCGCTGGCAAGTTTGGTGGCTGAGGTGTTGAAGGTGAGAGCTGCCAGAGGACTGTCATGAGCCGGGATCATGGTCACTGTGTTCTGAAAGGACCAAGAGGACGATACCGGGGACAGAAAGAAAGAGCGTTACTATACACTGATGCAATTTACATCATGCCTAATTTACTTCCACAAAAAAGCTTGCGTAGAGTTTCTGTAGAGCCACAGAGATGGTTTGCAGAGCTTAATTAACAATGCAATTGTAATAAAATCATGTGACTCCATTTGAAATCAGGGAGGAATACAGATTATTTGAGGTGTGCTGTGATGACATGTTTCCTACCAAATTGTTGGCGTCATACACTACAATCTCCCCAATGGTGGCACTGCCAGGGTACGCCAGGTAGGAGTTGGAATGGTTGATAGAAAGAGCACAGAGACCTGCGAGACGACAGAACCAATAATTGTTCAGGGTCAGTCAACCATCAGTTGGTTATGTTCTATAATATATAGTCCAAACAAGCAACAAATGGAGAAACTCTATGTGAACCAGGAAGGATGTGTTTTACAGACAGTGGCCTAGGGCTCTTTATGTGTGTGATTACCAAGAACCCCTCTTGGTATTAATGTCTTACCTGAGGGGTTGGACGGAGTGTTGAGCAGAGTCTTGAGCAGCTTCATGTCTTTGATGTTGTGGATATAAATGGACTCGTCAAGGCACACCACCAGCCTCTGCAAGACACAACAGACCTCAGGCATTACACTCCACAGTCATGCAGTCAGGGTTGGCTTCTGTCAGTGAAAGCCCACTTGTTATAGTAACAAGGGGCCTCATGCACCACCCTTCTCTTAAATTGATTTTATATTTTCTCTTCACTTTCTATTCAGAGAAAAAGTAAGAGAAGTGAACTCCAGATGCATTAAACGTTCTTACCAGGTGAAGCATAAATCACGGAATGCTTTAGATTTAGGGCGTATGTTTTAATATTTTTAGGATTAGGTAGCCAAAAAAGATGATTCAGCAACATGTGAAGATCTTGACTGAGTGAATTACTTCCTAACTGTGATGAATTATGGTGTACACAGTCATATCTGAGGGTTGTGGGTGTGAAACAGGGTAACTCGCCTGTCTGTTGAGCTTGACAGCCAGGATGTTGTTGGGATAGCTGTAGTTGCAGATCTCCGTCCCCTTCTTGAAGTGGTAGATGTTCATGCGCTGCGGCATGGCGGTGCTCACTACGACTACCAGACTGCTGGAGAACAGACGCTCCACGATGTAGACATCTGGAGTCTCTGCTGGGGGACAACAGGGAGTAGACAGACAGGCAGTGATGGAGACGCTGCTTTTATGTTGACTGAGGGATTCAAGAGAAATACAGCCTTTCTAACGTATGATACTATTTTATTTTATTTTTCTGCACAGCTCCATATAATGGTAATACCTTAGATGTTTGTACATTAATGTATATCCTCAAGCCTGAATCATTTGGTATCTTTGCAAACTTGGAGTCCTCCAACAGAAAAAGTCAAACAGGATGGGGGTTTGAACAAATGTTGCCTGAACCACATCGATTTCTAAAAATGGAGAAAGCTATGTGACCAGTAAAGCTGCAGAGGTTCACATACAGATACAGAGTACAGATCAGATACCAGTGTTTAATCAATAAGCTGTACGCCTCACTGAATGGAAGAGACTGGGATCATTCTTTATGTGTAAGGAAACATCAGGCCTCACTTAATCTCTTAAAACATACATACATAGATATACATTTACTGAAATGTTATTTATTATTAAAATAATAAATTGTACATTTGCAACTAACATATATTACACTTGAAGTGTAAGCCTTTTTAATGCAGCAAGAATTGGTCACAATTCCAGTAGTATATTTAGTATTTAAACATTTAAACAGTTAAATTGAATATATCGGCGCCATTGTGACCAATACTCATTGTAGCTACTTGAGTCAGTATCGGCCCGAAATCTGATATCCATCCATGGATTGTTTAGACTGCTTCAAGCCAACTAGTTACTACAAAGTATCACTGAGCATGTCTGCAGACTAAGTGTTTATATCTGGTACGAATGGCCCCACTCAAAGGAGAGGTGAAAAGCCTGACAAGAAATGTTGACAACAGTCACTTCAAGTCTCTGACCCAGAGGCTCTGACCCAGAGGCTCTGACCCAGAGGCTCTGACCCAGAGGCTCTGACTCAGAGGCTCTGACTCAGAGGCTCTGACTCAGAGGCTCTGACTCAGAGGTTCTGACTCAGAGGCTCTGACCCAGAGGTTCAGGAGACCCTGGCAGTAATACATTCATGCTTCATTACAGCTTTAAAAGCCATCATGAAATGGTTTCCACTTGAATTAGCGTCTTGGAAAGGTAGAGGCCGCACTGAAAGAGCTTTTAGATGATTGAAATGTCAACCGGTTGAGGTTAGCTGTCACCTGCTGCTTGTAGCATATAAATGAATCACAACAATATGTTATAATATATAACAACATCTAAAGCCTGACCAATAAATCGTCATGGCAAATGTTGTCAAGCTATTTTAGCTCATCACAGATACATAGGTATAGGTGTATATGTCGGCCAATAAATAACTGGAAACTGCATATGTTGACCATATTTGTATCTGCTCTTTAAATGATCAAATATAGATATATCTACATAATACAATATCTAAGTTGTCCTGACACAAAGCCCCTTGAGGCAAATTTGTGATTGGTGATATAAATAAAATTGACACAAATGCTCAACAATGTTAAGCTCTCATAGGATCATACCAGCATGTCAGGTTAACATAAACCAGACTATGCTGTACAGACACTGGATAGTCTGAACACACCATTCTGAGGAAACTCTCTTCTTCTTCATTGCTGCCAAAAGTCACGAGCACGATGTAATTACAGTAAGCTGGGCCGTGTCTGAGCGTACAGCCACTAAAACCCCTAAAAGGACCCAGCGAGCACTGTGATGCACACATACTTCATAATTATAATGAGATCATACTCTGAGTTAGCAGAAACCTGGTGAAGACGTCTGGCTTCCTCCCACATTAAACTGGTGACAGCAGCTGTGTTTCCACACACATGTTGAGGGAAAAGTTCCAGACTGTAAGAATAATCTGATAAAAGATGTGACAATATATTATATATACAGTATATGTATTATATTCCATAAAGCCGTTTTTTTTCCATCTTATGTTTTGCTGAAGTATTCTTAAAGCATTTATGCACAAATTAAGAAAACTCAATTATTTAATTTGACCTTCTCCTGCAAAGGTTTACAAAAATGTCTGAGTAGACGTAAGAAATGAAGGGAAGCAGCAAAAAGACCTAGTTAATACCATTATGTATCACTTTTAATAACGTACGGCCACTTTCACACTGTGGTTCGGTATAATTGATCTGGATCAAAGCAAAATGGTCTTTTCATTGTGGTCTGCTTGAACTCTGAGACTTATAAAGAATGTTTTGAGAGGGTGACATGAAGTCACATGGTAACTCACTCAAAAGACATTTTAGGTGACATCATCCTGCTTCATCAGCAACATGGACCCACTGGGACTGTAAGCAGGTC